AACTTAAAACCTGACGATGTTTAAATGTTGTTCACTTCTTTTGACTAAAGTACTTGTGGTGAGCTGTGTCAATGGGTCTGACCTCAGATGGTGTGATCACAGCTGCGTCCACGGGGCAAACTGGGCTGGACGGAGATGAACTCTCTCTGAAACACAAACATTGATGTTCATACAAATACGTTTTTACTTCAATCATTATTTCGGCTGTGGTACAAGGCATACATTTTGACAAGAGTGTGATCTTTGGTTTGAATTTTGAATTTTGAGAGTTCTGCTGCTACAATAAGTCTGTAAAAACGTTATCACCAAAACACAGACTATCAGATCCTTAAAGTCAAAATGTCCCACCCCAATAACAGCTTTGGGGGCTTTCAATCAGCCCTCGCTTCAAAATCGTATATTTTAGTATTTTCCACCCGATTCAGACCTTTTCTGATATGGTCTGATATGGTTTCCTGTAAGGTCATTGTTGCAGTGTTATGTGTTAAATTAATTTAGTTGAATTTGATAGAATGTAAAGAAAAAAATCTTTACGTTTTTCATGTTATTTATGGGGATTTTCCATGTTGGCATTATGTGAAAAGAAACTGGCATTTAAAAAATATTCTGTATTTTCTGAACTCTGAAAATTAGAAAAAGCAATTATGACCAAGACTGAAGTTGGGCATTTTCTTTTTGACATGGTAATTTTAACCTCTAAGGATTTACGAGCAACATTTGATTTCAATTTGAGACCTTAAGGGTTAAAATAAAGTTGAAATTGCTATCACTGTAACGTATGTAACTACAGAAACTGTGTCTAATATGATTGAACATTGTGTATTTGCTCCTACAGCAGGCGTTGGAGGCAGAGGAGGCAGAAGATGTGTCCGCAGGAGTTCTGCTGGGGGTTCAGGACCACTCCTCTGCAGATCGGACACACAAACTCCTCCTTCAGCTCCAGCACAAACTTCAGGGAGTGCTGGAGGGAGGGCAGCTCCGACTCCCAGGAGCTCAGCTTCGACTCCTCCGACCGCCTCACTGAATCCAAACTGGACTCCTCGGATCCTCCCAGCTTTGTGTCTGCTGTCGCCATGAGTCTGCAGAGAACAACCTGCTCTTATTACCACGTGAATATCATAGGAATACAGTTAAAGGGCTGTATTCAACAGATCTTATACTTGAGTAAAAGTTGAAGTACCAGAGTGTAGGAATACTCTGTTACAAGTAAAAGTCCTGCAATCAAAATGTTCCTCAAGTAAAATTACAACATTATAAGCATCAACATTAAAGTACCAAAAGTAAAAGTAGTCATTATGCAGATTGGTCCTTTCAGGATATGTTCTGATTATAATTATTGATGCATTAAAGTGCCATGAGTCTGCAGGAGGCACAATCACAACAGGTGATGAAAACATAATGATAATTCTTATTTGAGTGTTTTTAAATGATACATTTAATCCATCTGTTGTTTCTGAGATGGGACACATGGAGGAATCTGGGCTGATTGTAGTAATTAAACATCTTTGAGATCTCCCCTTTCCACATCATATGATTTTAATTTCTCTTGTCACCCTAACTTAGGCAAAGTAACAGCAATTGCTTACCGATGTTTGCCCTGCGTTTTGCCTCTAAGGCTACACAAAGGCTATACTGTCTTATATACAATTAAGAGTATTCCTTATGCGTAATACCCCATTTCAGAATAGTACATATTGAGTTAATGGTTACGATGATGTTATTGAGGTTTTTGTATTACAACTGGTAAATATAGAGGTAATTTATATAACTTTGTACACTGCTGCTGGATATCTTAAACTATAAATATATGTCAAAGTCTATCTTATAATTGATTTAGATTGTGTATGTGCTAATAATCTTAACCTAAACAAGTAACTAGTAACAAAAGCTGTCAAATAAATCTAGTGGAGTAAAAAGTATACTATTGGCTTCTAAAATGTAGTGGAGTAGAAGTATAAAGTTTAGCATAAACTGAGAATACTCAGGTAAAGTACAAGTACCACAAATTGTACTTAAATACAGTGCTTGAGTTAATGTACTTTGATACTCCACCACTGCCAGCAACTGTGTCAGCAAAAAAATCGTTATAGCCTACTATTAAAGTGAAAGTAGCTTACTCAGCAACATGGCTCCTGTCAGTGCTGTCACACGTGCACATGATGCACGTGCAATCATGCGTGCAGTTAGACATTATTGTGTAATCATATTTTGCATTATCATTATAACTACTACGACATAAATCAAGTTATTCAGTAAAGCACGTAACTTGTGTGTGTGTGTGTTTTTTGTGTTTGAATGAGATCAGTATGCAAGGGAATCCCCGCAGCGACTCATCTAAACAATTAAAACCTCAAAATTAAACTGTAAACTGACATAAATAATTGATTGATTGCACTTTAATGATTAACTAACTGCATGTGGGTTTTAAACAGTTTAGACGTTGACCCTGTGGTTAGTTTGAATGTCCTTGTGATATCGGAGCTGCTTTACTTTCACTTTCCTCAGACATAATGTCATACAGTATGTCAAGTTTGGTGCATTTTCTTACCTCAGTTTCTGAAATATCAGTGAAGTCCCTTGAAAACATCACACACTGCAGTCTGTGAGTCACTGCAGATCAATATGTCCGATCGTAATCGATTATCTGCGCCGCAGCGGCAGCGGAACAGGAAATTATAACTCCAGGAAGTGACTCAACGTCAACAACCTGCTCCATTTACTACTGAGTGATTACCATAGGAATAAAGTAAACGGGCTGTATTCAACAGAGGTGGAAGAAGTACTCAGATCTTTAAGTAAAAGTAGAAGTACCAGAGTGTAGGAATACTCTGTTAGAAGTAAAAGTCCTGCAATCAAAATGTCACTCGAGTAAAAGTACACAAGTATTAGCATCAAAATATACTTAAAGTACCAAAAGCAAAAGTACTCATTGGGCAGATTGGTCCATTTCAGAATAATATATTATTATTGATGCAAGTGTCATCAAAGCTGGTAAAGGTGCAGCTAGTTGTATTGACTTTACTCCAGGTATAACTAAAGCATTATTTCATTTTCATTCACTTTTACTATTTTACTGGAATATATTTAAGTGGATAAATCATTATATTGTTAACAATGTTATGGGATTATGTGTAATTTGACTTTCTTTCTTTCAAGCACAAATGGAAATGTATCTCACATATTGCAATAATTGCTTTTCAAATTAAGGGAGTAAAGGAAAAAGAATACAGATGTGAAAAATAGAAACAGTGAGATGGTACAAATGTTGTTTTTTAATGAGACATCTCAGCAGCCTTATTTTAACAGCAATATTTCACAAGTGCTACTGAAACTCTATGACTCCAGAAACATTTAACGTGTTTGTCCAAAAAGCATTAAGAGCACTTTCACAATGATATTTTACACCAAGTCCAAACTGGTAGCACCAGGAAGAAGAAGAATAAATAATGAAAGGACAGAAAGACAACACATCTGAAGCCCAGATGACATTTAGAATAATGAAATGAAAAAAATTATGAACAACCTTTCGTAAAAACCACAGCTACTCTGAGAACATAACTACAGAACACTTAGCGAACAGTGAGGATCATTTTAAATTTGGCTGATGGAGACTTTTCTACACTGAAGGGGGGAAACTTTAGTGTTTTAAAAAAGCATCGAATCAAATACAAGTTAACAAATAGTGACAGCTGATTGGATGGACAGCAGGTTAGAAATGATTAAGAGAAACCAAACTGTACACGTAGATGCTAATGCTAATGTAATGTACACAACACTGCGGGATTCAGTTAATTACTTTACGAGAAGTGGTTTACCAACCATGGATAATTATAATAATGGTTATATTTCATGTTCCTTCGACTCAAACTACGGTACTAAAATAGTATTATGTGTATCAAAGCGTAGTTTATCTTGTACCACTGAAAATACTCCCAACAAATGTACCTTTTCCTCCCCTTTGTTTGTCAAAAACATGACAATTTAGATATATAGCTGTATGATGTAGCTGAGAGCCACAAACTGAAAGTGAAATAGTATTTAGAGGCGTACCAACACATTCTTGGTTTGAGTCTAAACATGATATTTGACGACAGAAGGAATAATACACCAGACTGATTCTTTAAAAGATGAGCCCCAAGGTTCTCCTTATTTATTCTAAGCTTTAAGATCCAATGGATTAAAGATCATAAAACCCTTTGGAAAACATCAGACGTTTTTGAGTGATGATTAAGAAACTAAAATGTCACCAGAGACTAAATATACAGGGAAGATGGAGGATACATAAATAACAAAATCTATAACGATGTTGAGTTTCTTAATGTAAGAAATGCCACTGATTCAAGATCCTAAATTAAAGTTATTTTATTCTTTTAGATTACTTTAGCTTTAGAAAACACTACAACATCAAGCTATAAGTATCTACTCTGCTACCGATTAGAGCTGATAAATAAATATCTCAATTTGAAATGTTTTTACAGGTCCAAGTGGAGGGATGATGATGGAGAAAAAAAGAAGGGGACCCAGGATTGAACCCTGTGGGACGCCACAGGTGACCGAAAAGGCAACATTTTACTGTAAAAATCTACACACATTTCAGTACTAAAGATCAAACAGCGGGCCGGCTTCATTTAAGTCCTATAAGAAAGATAAAACTTCCCTAAAATACTGTTCTTCTAATAATTACAATCAGATTTGGATTTAGTTTGTTGTTTGTAAATGGTTGTTTAGGGCTAGTTATTTTACCATGCACAGCTCTCTGAGACTGCATTATATTTGTAGGTTAAAGGTGGGCTATGTAATTTTGGAGAAACCAGCTCGAGTGCGCTAGAATTTGAAAGTAGACAACCGGAAAAAATCTGCCCCTTCCTTACAGAGCCCCTCCTCCAACACACACGAACGCGCACATGACCAATGAGGGCACGAGGTAAGTTTGTGCACAGATGGAAGGCTGACAGGCAGGTAGGCATCCAGTTACTTTAGCCGGGCCGGCTCAGATTATTGGTCGTGCTTTTTACAGCGCTACGGCTTCCACTGATAAAATATTTTATGTATTTATTGTCAAAGCATTTAATATATTCATTGCTATCGGGATGTTAAGAGCATTCCATGGAATATAACAAAAAGTGTTTCTGAAATAAATTACATACCCCACCTTTAACTAATAGTATATTCATAACAATTGTTATGGTCTTCATTATCTATTTAAGATTATATATATATATATATATATATATATATATATATATATATTCCTACGTTTTTTTAAGGTGATCTTGAAGATGATTTAGTAAAACCCAGAATACTATCTCTATCCACATCACCTAAAGAACACGCACATAAAAAAGAAAGCACGAGGTATGAACATATATACGTGGTTCGAAAATCGAGGTTTGAGAACTGTAACACCCTTAGTTAATGTGTTACCTTTACAAGTAAACAAAAAAGGAAATCAGAAGCCTGAAAGAAATCTCTCATTGTTCTGAAGACTCAAGATTTCCCACGGGACCCTGAAAGCAGCAGCTTCAGATTTAACATTTGCTTTCCTCAGTGTCTTTAACAAATATGCTAAACGGACTGTATAGCGCTTTATCCAGTCTGTACGACCCCTCAAAGCGCTTTACAAACTACAAGTCATTAATTCATCAACTTGTTTTGCCGCTCAAGGAATCTAGCATTCACACACATTCACACACAGTCGCCTGTAGCTGTTAAACTGTCAGTGGAGGGAGGAAGATGAGGCCTCTGATTGGTGGACGGCCAGGCCTGGGGGCTGCTGGGCGGAGCTTGGACCCGACCCGCCGGGGTTAATACCGCCGAGGCTCATGGGAGCTGGAGGTCGAGGGTTTTAGACGAGGAGGAAGAGGGTTGGACGGGCGGATTAGAGGCGGCGGCTGCTGGAGGGTCGGACGAGGCTGCAGGAATCGAGCCTGTTGTTGGAGGGGCGGAGGCTGGCGGTGCAGGGAGGGTGTAGCGGGGAGAGAGGGCCTGAGGAGGGGAGGAGGCTGGTGGAGGGAGGAAGAGGAGGAGGAGGACGTCACGGGAATCTGAGCCGAGGAGGAAGAGGAGGCAGCAGGAGATGCACCTGAGGAGGTCACCTGACCCTGCAGAGAGAAGAGAGGGCGGAGTTAGAAATACCTCACTGTCAATCGTTAACAATCACATGTCAATCATCTCAAACTGTCACTTAGAGCAGAGGTTAACAACATCAGGGACTTTGCATGATGATCCAAAGTTAAAGTTAGAAATAAGTACTTTTTTTGAAATATCTGCTAGTTTTAACCAATTCAAACTTATGAAAACTATTTATATCAGTCTCTCTTTTCTGCATCACTCACAATCACATGTCCACGTTCTCTATATGTCACTTAAAGCAGAGGTTAACAACATAAAGGGCTGGGACTTTGCATGATGATCCAAAGGTAAAGTTAAAGTCACAAATACACTTTTTTGAAATATCTTCTAGTTTTAAGCCCTTCAAACTTATGAGAACAATTTATATCAGTCTCTCTTCATCTCTCAATGCCCAAAGAGATTTGTGTAGTTGTATTTATTGATAGGATATACACTAGAATAAATGTTGCCTCAGTTCAGTCAGGGATCCCTCCTCTGTTGCTCTCCCTGAGGTTTCTCCCATTTTTCCCTTTAAACTGTGGGTTTTCTCCGGAAGTTTTCCTTGTACGATGTGAGGGTCTAAGGACAGAGGGTGTCGTATTGTCATACTGATATTCTGTACACACTGTGAAGACCACTGAGACAAATGTAACATTTGTGGTATTGGGCTATATAAATAAACATTGATTGATTGATTAAAACAAATGTATTAATTGTATTAATTGCTTGCAGGTTTTATGGTTGATTTGTCCAATCAATCGCTCATACACGATTTCCTGGACAGAAAGCAACAAAAAAACATGAGCATGGTGAAATGGATGATGGGAATTAAGTCTGTTTTACATTCAAACAGTTGCTTCTCAGCAGCAGACTGATGTACTTCAGTATTATATAGTCTTTCGGAACCACCATACACTTTTTTGATTGCTATTTTCAACATCAGAGGACAACGTAAAAAAGGAATTAGATGTAATGTTGACTGCAGTAAATAATCTCTCTAGAAGTTAGTTTTCATTAACAAATGTAAAGTGAAATCTGGAGTGAAAGAAGTCAATCTAAAAGCAGATGGATGGAAGAAGATCAGCAGGATTGTGGTGCATGCAGGTATTATCATTGATCCATTAGGCGCTCAATATGGGATATATATCATTTAAACCCTCCTCACCTCTTCGTCTTCTTCGTCGGTGCTCTTCCCTGACGGCGGGGTGGAGCTGGTCTTCCCCTCCTCTCCAGAGGTGGCGCTGTCTCCGTTGGGAGTGTGCGTTCCCTGCTCCGCCTCCCACTCCTGAAGCACCTCGTCCAGGTTGAACCGCCGCCGGTAGTTCACGAAGAAGTTCTTCACCTGGCCCACCGTCTTGTTACCGATGACGTCAGCGATGGCCTGGAAGTCTTTCCCATATTTCCTCACACCTGAAGGCAGAGATGGCAAAAGTACACACATCCTTTACTCTAGTAGAAGTACAGATACTCTTGTTCAAAAATACTATAGAAGTACTGACTAAACGTCTTTACTCAAGTCAAAGTAAAGAAGTATGGGCTTTGAAATGTACTTAAGTAAAAAGTACCCATAACTAGCAGCTGTTTTAAAGAGTACCTGACCTCCCTTTATATTAATAGAACAATAATGTCATTGTTAGCTAATGAATGTTTCCATGCTGAACAACGGCAACATGACAACGTTTCCATTGGTCCCTCTTCTTTAGAGAAGACCAGGAAATGATGGATACACGGATCGTGTTCAAATCAATAGGCACGCAATGACTCTAAATAATAATGATCACGCACCAAACACACATTCAGACTAAAGGAACCAGCTGTTTGGAAAATGTGAGAAGTAGAAAGTACAGGTATTTGTGTTCAACATGTAAGAAGTAGAAAGTACAGGTATTTGAGTTCAACATGTAAGAAGTAGAAAGTACAGGTATTTGTGTTCAACATGTAAGAAGTAGAAAGTACAGGTATTTGTGTTCAACATGTAAGAAGTAGAAAGTACAGGTATTTGTGTTCAACATGTAAGAAGTAGAAAGTACAGGTATTTGTGTTCAACATGTAAGAAGTAGAAAGTACAGGTATTTGAGTTCAACATGTAAGAAGTAGAAAGTACAGGTATTTGGGTTCAACATGTAAGAAGTAGAAAGTACAGGTATTTGAGTTCAACATGTAAGAAGTAGAAAGTACACGTATTTGTGTTCAACATGTAAGAAGTAGAAAGTACAGGTATTTGAGTTCAACATGTAAGAAGTAGAAAGTACAGGTATTTGAGTTCAACATGTAAGAAGTAGAAAGTACACGTATTTGTGTTCAACATGTGAGAAGTAGAAAGTACAGGTATTTGTGTTCAAGATGTAAGAAGTAGAAAGTACACGTATTTGTGTTCAACATGTAAGAAGTAGAAAGTACAGGTATTTGAGTTCAACATGTAAGAAGTAGAAAGTACACGTATTTGTGTTCAACATGTGAGAAGTAGAAAGTACAGGTATTTGAGTTCAACATGTAAGAAGTAGAAAGTACACGTATTTGTGTTCAACATGTAAGAAGTAGAAAGTACAGGTATTTGAGTTCAACATGTAAGAAGTAGAAAGTACAGGTATTTGAGTTCAACATGTAAGAAGTAGAAAGTACACGTATTTGTGTTCAACATGTAAGAAGTAGAAAGTACAGGTATTTGTGTTCAACATGTAAGAAGTAGAAAGTACAGGTATGTGTTCAACATGTAAGAAGTAGAAAGTACAGGTATTTGTGTTCAACATGTAGGAAGTAGAAAGTACAGGTATTTGAGTTCAACATGTAAGAAGTAGAAAGTACAGGTATTTGAGTTCAACATGTAAGAAGTAGAAAGTACACGTATTTGTGTTCAACATGTAAGAAGTAGAAAGTACAGGTATTTGTGTTCAACATGTAAGAAGTAGAAAGTACAGGTATTTGTGTTCAACATGTAAGAAGTAGAAAGTACAGGTATTTGTGTTCAACATGTGAGAAGTAGAAAGTACAGGTATTTGAGTTCAACATGTAAGAAGTAGAAAGTACACGTATTTGTGTTCAACATGTGAGAAGTAGAAAGTACAGGTATTTGAGTTCAACATGTAAGAAGTAGAAAGTACAGGTATTTGAGTTCAACATGTGAGAAGTAGAAAGTACAGGTATTTGAGTTCAACATGTAAGAAGTAGAAAGTACAGGTATTTGAGTTCAACATGTATGAAGTAGAAAGTACACGTATTTGTGTTCAACATGTGAGAAGTAGAAAGTACAGGTATTTGAGTTCAACATGTAAGAAGTAGAAAGTACAGGTATTTGTGTTCAACATGTATGAAGTAGAAAGTACAGGTATTTGTGTTCAACATGTATGAAGTAGAAAGTACAGGTATTTGTGTTCGACATGTAAGAAGTAGAAAGTACAGGTATTTGAGTTCAACATGTGAGAAGTAAAAGTAAAAAGTCGTCAGAAAAATAAGTAGTGGAGTAAAGTACTGATACCAGAAAAATGTACTTGAGTAACGAAGTATTTGTACTCCACTACTTCCCACCTCTGCCTGAAGGACATCACAGATGGTTTGTAATGGACTTTTCAAGCTCCTTTTTAACACCTTTCTAACAGTAACCTGTGACCAAACTCACCTTGAACAGCCAGCAGCTGCTCGTCTGTGGTCCAGCGAGCGTTTACCTTCTGGTTGCCCTGTAAAAACAACCACTGACAGTTATCTAATGTGTACAACCAAAGAGGAATTACAGATTTCATTTTTTTTATTTAATAGAGAAATAAATGTGTTGTGTTTGGTGGTGTCAATGTACCTCAGCCATTTTGAAATCTTCAATCCCAGTCTCCAAACTGTGTTTCATGCCGCTGTTCATCTGTTTGGCGTTCTGCACCTAAAAAACGAGACAGAAACAATCAGCTGAGCTTCAACAAAACTCACAAGTTTGACTCTCACTGATTCTCTGCTTTAAAGTGTAGCTTTAAAACCCTCTAAATGTAATTTGAATGCCTTTTATTCAAATGTCTTCAACTGTTACACAGTGTACTGATACCTGCAGGTATAACCAGTAGGGGGCGGTATAGAGTAACATACAGGCACTGCACAGGACGACTCGGGACTCACCTGGGGTCTTTCACCTGTGCTCCAACAGATTTAGCTAACAGGTTCACTGGCCAATTCTCAATGTCGAGTAAAGCTGCTCCAGAGCCACTATTTCAAGCATACTACGTCATCGAGTGGCACCGAATCACTGTTTAAATGCCCAACATACTTGTGCTACCAAGCAAGCCTCCTCGACTTTGAGAAACGGCCACTGCTTGAGTTTAATGAATGAATGAATGAGCAGCAGACATGTTTCCTGTGATGATCTCTGACTGTCTGGTGAGTAACTCTGTTTGTCAATAACACATCTGTCTTCAAACGTATGCTCCTCATGGGTAGCAACATGCTAATGTTAGCATGCATTTTTTTTTTATGTTTATGTGGTCTGGTTCTTTTTTGTGAAATGATTTAAAGGGAATCGCAGGAGATGTTCCAGTGCTTCATCATATGTAGATTTTCACATGTACATTTCTTCTGGGCACTTTTGTCAAACACATTATTTACCTACTTTAAATCCTAGGACAAAAATGTCTTAATATGCTTAAAGAAAGACAGATGTACAATCCCAGGTTGACTGGTGAAACTGTACCTGCTGATTTGCTGAAGAACAACAGCGACTTTATTCATTGGTCAAATCTACAACATAATAAAACAAAAAAACGAATTGTCACACAGTAAGTCACACTGGATCCAACCTGGTCAAAAATAAACCCTTTCCATTCTGCTTCAGTTGTTTCATTCTTACCCTGTTGCTGTTAAACTACTGCATTTCCCCACAGGGATTAACTTATCTTATCTCTTATCTTATTGGGCGCCTCCTACCTGTCTCTTGAGGGACACCAGCTCCATGTCCAGCTGTCGGAGCAGGGTGTTTGCTGCGGAGGCGCTGCAGGACACGGCCCCCACGTCCTCCTGGGTCAGGTACATGCCTTTGGGGGGGCGGCAGCGGGAGCGCTGGTGGTGTCGGTGCTGCAGCGTCTGGTGCTCCCGCCGAACCAACGCCACCTTAGAGCCCGGGACCACCGGCTCCACCTGGTTCTGCTGGGAGACACAGAGCGGCTCCATTAAACTGCAGCCTCCCCCTCCCTCTGGAACTCCCTTCCCAGTCACATCCGAAAGGCCAACACTCTTTAACCCGTCAACAAAATCTCTCAAAACTCACTTATTCACTCTCGCTTTCAAACTCTGATCAACAGCCCTTTTTACACAGCATTTTGAATATTTAACTAACAATATGTTGAACAATATGATCGCTTGAAGTCTTTAGTTTTTGATCTAATCCTCCCTGTTCAGTAACTAATGGACTATTTTAGTATTATTCCTTGACATGAGAACATTAAAAAAAATATGAGAAATGTATTAAAGTCCCATCATAGTTTAACTTCCTGTAATGAGTGTGTCAGGTGTGTCTATTTGTCATGGCAACAGAAGCTCAGGTGTGTCCACATACCTCTTTCTTGGCTTCCTTGTTGGGGTCGTAGTCGCTGTCGTGGGCTTCGATGGGAGCGGCCTCCTCCATCTCCTCCTCACTACGGTTACAACAAAAATAAGTCAAACCTAAGTAGGTACACTTTATTATAACAACAACATAAACACAGACAGCTTTGAACCGAGGCACACCAGAGAAGAAGACAGGAAACACAAGATATGACAAACAATTGTAAATCAGATTTTGTCAAATACTTTACGGTTTGATGTAAAAACAAATACCATTTCATACCACAGTCTCAAAAGAACATGTGTTCACTGTTTGATCATAAATACAATTTTCACTTTTCACTTTTATACAAATAGACCTGAAGCATCAAAGCTTAAAGGTCCCCTATTCTACTGTTTTCCATCAATATATTACAGGTCTCAGATATATTCAAAACATGTCTCTGAAGTGTTTGGCTCCAAACACCAAACAGATCATTGCAGCTTTACCCATAATCCCCTCTGTTTCAGCCCTGTTTCCAAAGTGCTGATTCTCTGTTTGTTACTTTAGATGAAAATAAGGAGCCCCTCCCCACGCCCCTCTGAGAGAGATTTGGTTACAAAGAACACAATGGTGCTCAAGGAGGAGATACAGGTGATAAGGTGGGGGGGGGGGGGGGGGGTTACCTTGGTTGGTGATTGGCTAATGGTTACACAAGACAAAACATTATTGTGACATCATAAAGTGGCCAAAATCTGATCAGCTCATTTTCAGACAGGTTTTTATAGAAATGGATCAAAAAGAGAGAGAATCTTTGTTCCTGAAACTTTCAGAGTCTCTTTCCACAGAGGGGACATATGTTGATGTAGAAGAGACATGAAGAAGAGGGGACACATGTTGATGTAGAGGAGACATGAAGAAGAGGGGACACATGTTGATGAAGAAGAGACATGAAGAAGAGGGGACACATGTTGATGTAGAAGAGACATGAAGAAGAGGGGACACATGTTGATGTAGAGGAGACATGAAGAAGAGGGGACACATGTTGATGTAGAAGAGACATGAAGAAGAGGGGACACATGTTGATGTAGAAGAGACATAAAGAAGAGGGGACACATGTTGATGTAGAAGAGACATGAAGAAGAGGGGACACATGTTGATGTAGAGGAGACATGAAGAAGAGGGGACACATGTTGATGTAGAAGAGACATAAAGAAGAGGGGACACATGTTGATGTAGAGGAGACATGAAGAAGAGGGGACACATGTTGATGTAGAAGAGACATGAAGAAGAGGGGACACATGTTGATGTAGAAGAGACATGAAGAAGAGGGGACACATGTTGATGTAGAGGAGACATGAAGAAGAGGGGACACATGTTGATGTAGAAGAGACATGAAGAAGTGGGGACACATGTTGATGTAGAAGAGACATGAAGAAGAGGGGACACATGTTGATGTAGAAGAGACATGAAGAAGAGGGGACACATGTTGATGTAGAAGAGACATGAAGAAGAGGGGACACATGTTGATGTAGAAGAGACATGAAGAAGTGGGGACACATGTTGATGTAGAAGAGACATGAAGAAGAGGGGACACATGTTGATGTAGAAGAGACATGAAGAAGAGGGGACACATGTTGATGTAGAGGATACATGAAGAAGAGGGGACACATGTTGATGAAGAAGAGACATGAAGAAGAGGGGACACATGTTGATGAAGAAGAGACATGAAGAAGAGGAGACACATGTTGATGTAGAAAATATGTGAATAAATGGATTTTGCATAATCGGTGACTTTTAATTCATAGATTTAAATAAAAAAATCACCACTGACAGTGAATACCTGTCGTCCTGGTTGCTCCGGTTGGCCAGTTTCCGCGCCTGCCGGTCCATCAGACTGGTTCTGGAGCGAGTCTTCTTCCACGAGTAGTAATACTTCACCAGACTGGAGATGGACTTATCCGGTAACTGAAGGAAACACGATCAAGTTTAACACTCTCAATCTCTATGTACAATCTAAAGAGGTCTCTCTCTTCAGAACAGAATGAAGTCGGCAGCAGCAGAACGCCTTAATAACCTACTTTTCAATGAGGCCATTTTTTATATAGCCTTCCTTCGATTAGTTTTAAGCTCAATAGTAAACACGGATAATATTTGACCGGAATATCTCCCATTTTCCGGGACATTGAAATCTTCCTGGACACGTTGACCTGTAACACATATTTTTTAAACGCTGGTAATAACTCTGTACTTCAGACCAAGTGTTTACCATCTGCTGGATGCGGTGGAAGCTCTTCCCGTGGAAGCTGAAGGCCTGCTCGAACAGAACCTTGTCCTCCACCGTCCACTCGTCTGGAAACGGGGTGAAGTTGGGCAGGTCGGCCAGAGACTTCTCTATGTTGTGTTTGTGCCAGAAGAGCATGCCGAGCGCCTGAACACACAATAAATACACAATTAATACATCAGAACGTTTCTGCAAACTATCAGAGCAGCACCATCTAGTTCATCATCACAGTTATTATTAAACGTCAGAGGGATTATCAATGATTTATGTTCAGAGTGGCTTCACAAGGTGCGTCCGGATCAAATTAATTGTTCATCAAAAAGGAAGATGATGGCTGAAATGTTAATTAAAAGAATAATTAAATTCATAACTCATAGTCATTTTTAATTTAGTTTATCATTTCACCATTGGTTGATATTTTATGGAACACTTTGTGACCTAGGCCTGTGCAATAATTCAAAAATGATTGTGTTTCAGTACACTTGAATCATGGTGAATTCATATATCGAGGTATATTGCGTGAAATAAATTGAGGGAATATAATTTTAAGCCTTTTTTCAATCTATCTTTTTTCATTTAGCTCTATATTTCTTAATTAAATGACAAATTACCACATACTTATCATTTATCAAGTATTTAATGCACACCAGAGGATTCAACATGAGGCTCTGCTGTGCCGGCTCTCACCTGCTCCACGTTGTATCCATGTTTCTCTTTAGCTAAAGCGATGTATTCGTCCACTGTGGAGGAAAACACACACCGTTAGAGTCTGATCTGAGGACCTGATAGAGGACTGTAGAAAACAGGAAGTTAACTTACATTTTGAGTCGATGATGTTGTGATATGGAGACCAAACTAGCATCCCCCCGCTGTCTTTATCCGTGTACTTAGTGGAACCTGTACACACATAAAAAACATCACATTCATGAAACTTTTTAAAGTCTAAAAAACACATTAAATTCAGTTTGCTCATCACCACTCTGCTAGTGAACACTTTGTAAAATATATTGTTATGCTTTGGATGGGGCAGTTAAGATGTTTAAAAACAACAACGTGTTGCATTGTGGGAAATGTAGTATCTGTTGTTTTTGGGGACTTGGGTTTGACCCATAATGCTCACATTTCTTTGGTTTCTGTCAAATAAAGTACTGCCAGTGTGATCAGGACATTTCCGTTAGTTTTTTTCAGAATGATTTTATTGCTTCAATTTGAAATATGTTTTATACAAATACACAGAATACGTTTTCATAATAAGAAATACATTATTTAGTCAAGGAATACTGATTGTACCTTTAGCAAATATAATACATGTAATATTTAGAGCATTGACATGTTCATGTTGACACTGTAAACGGGTCCAAAATCCACAAACTTAAATATGTAAATGTCCCAATTGTTAAAAAGCAAGGGATTCTTATAAGATCACTATTTTCTTTTCAGATTATTTTGAACACAATTATATATCACTGTTATTCACCTTCAGAACGTTGTCACGTGTCTGTGTTGACAGCTAAAGTAAAGTAATGAAAAACAAATATATAATAAGAAAAGCCATTTTTTGTAATTGTCAGTGCGGGAATGAAAATGTTAACGTTAATGTTTAATGTTAATGTTAGTCTTTTGTAAAAGTAGTAGTTGTTTTTTATTATTATTGTTTTTACATTTTACCCGAGGCACTTTCATTTCACTCTGCTACACAACATATTATACAAGTATTAAGTGTATAAGGTCGGAAAATAGAGAATAACAATGTAAACAAACCAGCTCAATCAAGCTTCAATAATTACAAATGTATAAATGTCACAAGTTGTCAGTGAGAAGTTGAGGTATAGCCTCGGTTCATGTATCTGTCCTCAGGTTATAACACAGTTTAATAAAACTGATTTAATGAACAAACAGCTGATTTTAAGTGTTTTAACCGCCTTTTAAACGCACCAAAACACGCATGAAGCTGTGTATGTGTATGCATGTAGTTAAAGGCTGTGTGTACATGTTCGAGGCTACCAACGTCCGTCACTCAGGTTGAAAACAGTAAAAAACTCACCGGGCTCAAACTCGGGAATGTTGGCCTGATAGTCTGCTCCAACCCGCATCCCCACATCTGGAGAAAAAACCATATCAGCATTCACATTTTTTTGTTAAAAAACGCGCACATATTACGGAGCGATAAGAGGCTGTTCGAGGCTATACTGACCGTGTTCGTCGTCGCTGCCACTTTCGTCAGAAAAATGTCCATTAGAAGCGTTGGATGGACTCTTGGTGCCGTTTGATCGACCTTTCCCCAAATACTCCGAGCCTTTATCCATCATCCCCGGCATTTTACCGATCAAATTGATCGTTTTAGAGCCTCTGTGTCTGGGTATAAAATGTCAGCAGGACCTGGAGGTTTTTCAGCTGCAGTTCCTTCAGCAGCCGCAGCGTCGTCCATGTCGCTGTCGAGGCATTTCTTATCTTTCACCGCCTTGCATACAGTCATTTCATGCTTTTAGAAGTCATAGAAGACAAGAATAGGCTCTTCTTAATTCGAAATATTTTAATGTATATAATTATTCATTTGAAGGGGATGTTTTTACCCGTTTAAAGTGGTTGCTGAGTGGGGTCTAACCACCACAGCGGAAGGCTTTTTACGCACCGTGGGGCAGGAGTGTGACTCCAGCTGCTGCGGCGCCTGACAGCAGATCCTTCCGCCGTCAAAAATAATAATAAACTGAAATTAAAAATGTAAACAAAATTCCAATTTCAAACTGAAATTAAACAGTAAGAAAACGTAAAATAAAATCAACAAAAGCAAAATTGAGTCTCAATGATGTGAACATTATAGAAAATGCACATAAACCAACATGTAAACATCATAATTTGATATGATAAGATCTCGGATGTTTTTTCACATTCAATATGCTGACATTATAACCAGTGCTTGAATTGGAATGAAAAAGGTGCCAGTACTCTAAAATCAGCAACTTTTTCAAGTCAATTTTATATATACAGCCCACAAACAAGAATTTGGCTACTATAATGCTGGTGGGTTTGTCTCTTTACTACTGTATATTTTAGAAAGGTTCACTGTACTTAACATTTTTTATGATAGGCAGCGGATATGGCTAAAGCTCAGTAAGGTCAATATTAACTGAAAATATAGCAATCAAAGTCTAGATCTTCTGCTGAAGACACATGAAGCAGAGACCTTTCAGGTGAGAGCCCCTCTGGTGGTGTTCAACATTAATGACAAGGAAACAAAGCTCTGGTCAGAAGCATTTTTTATAAAAAGCTTTAACAAAATTAAGTATTTCTGTACATTTTGAATGCAATCTAACTTTCCAACTCAGAAAACGAAAAACGAAAAAGTGCCAAAAGTCTTCTCACATGGCTGAGCTGCTTTGCAATATACTTCACCACTGAAGAATACAAATATGTATAAAGTAAACTATGATGCAATCTAACTTTCCAACTCAGAAAAATGATAAAGAGCATGAACAAAGAACATGTAAAAACAAATGCAAAATGTGCACAATCTAAAATGAGAAACTGTAACTGCAAGTAACAAAGTCTGAGCCATGGTAAAGAGTTACATTGAACACCAAGCTGATCAGATAACTCCCTGGTTGGTCTGAAGTCCTTCTATCTCCAGGATCTGTACAAATCGGCACATTATGCCAAAAGTCTTCTCACTGGGTGAGCTGCTTTGCAATATACTTCACATTGTTAGAAAAGGCTCCAGAAGGCCTTGTGGACATCAGTATCAGGGGCTGGAGCTGGACAGGCTCTTTCATCAGCACTTCTCCTTCCCTTTGCCAGCCAGGACCTCACATACTGTTCCGGATTGAACTGTCCTAGTGATGGTCCATTACATTTAATGAAAACCAGGCTGACAGAGAGAGCATTCCTTTTTGCAGTAAGGATATCGTTCATGCAGCTGAATGCCCGCTCACACTCACTAGTGGAGACAGCGATGGTTCGGACTGCTTTCAGTAGAGGCTCCATGGCAGCAGGTGTACGGGATGCCCTGGTTTCCTTGTATTCGCGAAAGCCCTGAACAGTCTCTCTTCTGTCCACTTTCAGCACTTCGCACAAACGTAGCACCTCTACGTCCCCATACTGTACGTCTAACTCCTCTTCAGGCCAACTTCCAGGATGGATAACTTTCATGTCCTGGATTAGCTGATTGTCCCGGGCCTCCCGGCCATGTAATGGGATTTCTCTTGTGCTGACATGAGAGGAGGTTGTGGAAGTCATTCTGTGTCTCAGATTCTCTACCATACTGCGGAAAAACTGACCTGCATGAATCTGTACAAGCCTGCCATTCTCACGCAGGGCAACACCCTTGAAGGACTTCTCAGCTAGAGCTGTATGAACTGTAGTCATGTGTGGGCCAGGCATGGTGACCATGGATTCAAAAACTCGTATTTCTCGAGTTAAGAGCCTATCTGCTGTAGGCAGTGTCATCTCTCTTTTTTGGAGTTGCCGAGAGAGGTCGCTGAGCTCTGTGAGCGCATCGTACATCAGTCCCAGATTGCTGACAAACGTTGCAGATGTGAGCACATCATCCAGGCCCTTGTACTTTGCTCTGTCTCTGGAATCCCTGCTCGTGTCGTTTGCAGCATTTGTGAAGTGATCATGAAGCACTCGGTAGTTTTCCCAGACTGCTCTGACGCTCCTTTCACTTGAAGCCACCCAGCGGATGGACAAAACACGCCCTATCACCAGGAGACGCTGTCCGACTGCTTGCGCACACTGCGCTAACTGCCTCTGATTTTTGGGGGAGGCATGGAACAAGGAATAGAGTTTGTCAAAAAAGATCTGGAAATGATTGAGCCCTGAGACCTCCTTGACCACATCCCCAACTGCCAGCTCTAGACGATGATTGGAATAGTGCCACACAAACAGGCTTGGGAATTTACTACACAACTGGGTAGCAACGCCTGTTCTCTTCCCTAGCATGACTGAAGCCCCATCACATGCAAAAGAAACGAAACACTGACCTAAAAAGTCCTCGTTAAAATCTCTTCCAAGACACTCCATTAACGCCTTTGTGATGTCATCAGCCGTTGTTCCATCCAACTCAATCAGCTCCCAAAAAAACGTTTCGGGCTCAGCATCAGCTAATGCTGAGCGTAGACACACAACAAGCACCGTTTTACCACTAATAGTGGTAGATTCATCGACCAAAACACAGAGTTTTCTTTGGTTTTCTGTAATGTCTTTTGCCATTTTTTTCTTCAGCTCATGAGCTATGTGGTCGATGATTTCGCCACAGGTTTTATTGGAGTGCAAAACCCTGCCCACGTTCAGCCCATTCAGTTTCTGTACATTCAAATAAATTGGCATGTCTGTGAATGGCCGGCTATGTTTGCCAATTTTATATGCCGTTCGAAAAACTCTGATAGTGGTGTCTAATTCAGATTTATGCATAGACTGCACTTGATGTTGAATAGTTTCAAGTGAAGCAGATGTAAGGATGTCAGCAGCTTTTACATGGGCTTGTGATTCTTTATGTTCTTTGATTTTTTTTCTCAGGCTAGCTTGTTGTTTGCCCTTGTCAACACCGAAATGAGACACTGCACACTCACCCCATTCAGTTGACAGTTTCAGTCCTTGTCCAGTGTGTATTCCCAAAGATTTGACATCTCTGCATATCCGACATCCTAGCTTCTTATCTTTAAGAAGGAGCCATGCATTGGTCTTGCAAAAATATTGCACCTGGTCCGTTGTCCAGCAGTCAGGTGCATCGCTTTGCCCGGTGTTGGTGGTGGCAGTTGCGCCAGCAGCAGCTAACTTTAGAGGCTCTGGAGGAGGCGGCGGAGCTAGTGCTAATGCTAATGCACTAGAACTTGGAGCAGGAGGATCAACCAAAGAAAGCTCCCCATCAGACACAATTTCCAACACAGGCACAGCGTTCTCTGTATTTGAAGTTTCTTCCTGCGACAACCGCTGTCTTTTTGCACTTTTATTAATCCACGCTAACATTTTAGAAATGCTAATTTGTGACGTGACTTGCTTTCCTTCTCTCGGGGGCATGCCTGCTCTGTTCTATCACTCTACATAGCCACCCACTGGGTGGGAGTTGCACTGCATAAACACAACACACGTGCATCTAGGTATGTAAATTGTAAAGCATTAAAACATGGTTTTACTAACAGTTTTCAGTATGTTGTTACTTCGGCATTATTATTATTATTATTTTGAAACGTGTATTACTATTAAATCACGGTCAAATAGGTTAATTTTGACATAGTCGTTTCCACCACAGTATTTACATGGAGAAGATAAGCCCCGCCCCCTCTCCAGCACGTTCTGTTTGAATGACAGGAGTAAACAGCTGACAGCCGCTGTGAAACTCCAGCGGTTAGAGCGATGAGAATGTCCGTTCGGCACCTCATGACGCATCTACTGAGTACCGGGCGGCTGTATATATATATATGGATGTATAATAAGAACGGCGGGAGAGTGTTGAGTACTGGCACGGTGCATGAGTACCGGAGTACCGCCAGCATGCCGGTACTGAGCAAGAAGTGCCGGTACTCCATGGGTCAGAACCAGAAGTGCCGGTACTGCGTACCGGTGAGTACCGGCCCAATTCCAGCACTGATTATAACATGTTGTGAACTAAAACTGGTTGAATGTGGATAATTCAGCGTGTTTTATTTGTTTTTTTCTGCTTGTTTAACTGTCGATGTCCCTGCACTGACGCTTAATGACCAGCAGGGGGAGACACAGTTCAACAATCAGCAGAGAAAACCTTCAATTGTATTTAACACTAAACTCCTGCAGACACTGTTTATTCTGTCAGGCATCGCATGGGACAGATATTCAAACTCATTGTCATTGAAATGCTCATTAGATCAATTCTATATTACCTTTACAGGTATATATAACTCGTAAAAACAAACATTACCAAACTTCTTCAGTTATGCAGGTAGTTGTTCCCGCTCAAAGTATTGGAAATAACGTACACATATCTTTGTAAGAATGTATGCATTTAGAATAAGCCCCTTGAGATGGGTCATTGGTTTTCTGTAATGAAGTAGTCTACAAAAATATAAGCAATTATTTTTTGCATTCATCAGAATATAACATTTTAAATATTCTATATTTAATCAAAGTATGTAGTAGAATCATGATTTGAGCATGATGGTTTTAGATGGCTTTGTTTCTGCCAAGTGCAGAAAGGACAGTGTCTGTAGCAGCGACAATAACGGTCAATACGTATCAGCTTTCACCGGTCATCTTTCAGCTGTTTAGCATCCTCAAGGAATAAAGCACACTCAAAATATAAATACCCTCACACTGCCAAAGGATGGGCATAGAAGAGTGTTCAAATGACCTAGACAACTTGCCACCGATCATTGTTACTGATGTCGGCGCCTCTCTTGTGTTTGGAGTCGGTGCCTACACCTGTCGGCAAATGTTAAAATGTTAAAATGTAAGCCCATGTCTAAATTACAAACGGGTGTGTTCACGACCTTCAAATCTACAGGCCCAATGACAACTAAACAATCATCCCGACAGAAGAAAGATAGCTAATGTTTTGCTAACCGAATGCTAACAAAGCGGTGGTTTAGCATAAGTAATCTAGAAGTATATTTATAAATACTTTGACTTTTCATGTTTTAAATCTTATTCCCTCAGTGGTGGTTTGTGTTATTGTCGTTCAGCAATTCTTTCTGACTTGGCTCCCTGGTCTCCTTTGTAAAGTTTCCATAGCGTAAATAAATTAAACTTAATCCCATGGCCTTTTTCGGTTGGTTTTATAACCAAACGTGACAGCCAACCACAAACAGTGCTTTCGTACCAAGTTTAAAAATGCTGAATTCAAAGGGTTAACCGTTTTTTTGCTAGCCATAAGGATAAATCAGCGGGTTTCAATCATAGACTGTATATATAAGACAAATATGGTTTCAATCCCCGGGATCCTTCAAAGATGGCCGCCTTCGTGTGAATAGCTAATGGATATGTGACGTCATCAACGCCAAGTCGTCCATCTTTGGAGGACACTCGCGAGCCGAGGAGCTGTACATTGTTCACTTTACACGTTTTAAACTTTGTTGGTAGGCACTGTTATGTCACCTTATGTAACAACGACTGCTAATATAAATATGTTGCGGTATCGGACATGAACATTTGTATTGAACTTCCCTTTAGTCAATATTCAAATATGTTTTTATAAAGGTAGGTTTAGGGTTTTCCTTCCATTTATGTATACCTGTCTCCCTACATTCATCTACCTGTCTCCCTCCCTTTATCTACCTGTCTCCCTCCCTGTATCTACCTGTCTCGGGTAGTGAGGGAGACATTTACCTGTCTCCCTCCCTCCCCCTCTCTCTCTCCCTCTCTCTCTCTCCCTCCTTCAATCCCTCACAGTGGCTCGTGCTGCAACCGAACCATCTGCCAATAACAAGCCTTCTGAGACAGAGAGAGAGCGCGTGAGTGAGAGAGCGAGCCACCTACTCCACAGCGCGCGGGGCTCGTGCAGCATGTCAGAGATGTGAAGCGGCGGGAAGCAGCATGGCGGGAGGACGGCGGGGTCTCGTGGCCCCTCAGAACACGTTCCTGGAGAACATCGTCCGTCGGTCCAACGGTAAGGTTCCGGTGCTGTCCGTTTACATTTATTTAAACGGTGATAACGTGAGTGTTGTGTGGAATGTCTCGTGGTGGTGCGCGGTTGGTTCATCATCAGAAAGCTCTACTCTGATTGGCTCTTAACGTTCCAGAATGTTGAATGTGTCCAGGTAGTTACCTTCATCGCAAGCTAACACTAAGCTGTAGTTACATCACTTAATAGAGGTGTTTGTCTTAATTACAGCTGCTCAGTCAAATCAACCAATGTATATCACTTGTATTCATTTCCACATTGCATGTACGTTTTATGTTGTTAACAGGAATACAGCTACATTTGATTTAAACCGAAATGTACATTCATATTAAAAAAGATGAACCCTAGAACTTATATTACAAGTTATAAGATAAGATAGACCTTTATTGATATTGAAATTCAGGTGTTATTGCAGCAACATAGTAAGAGAGAAAGTGGTACACATGGGAATATACACAGTAATAATGAGGATGCTTTTTTATTTCAATAACAAAATATGAAGAAACATGTAGTAAAAGTATGAATATAAATAACAAAAACACCTTGTCTACCCTTTATGCTACTTCATATACTTATCCAATGTTTACAATTGTATTTAAACACTAAACGGTATGCTATTTAATTTGAAATTCAAAATGTTATTTATCTTGATCTTTCAAAAGTTATTTAATTGGCTTTACACCCTATATTCACTTCACAACCCAAATTCCACATGTATATTGTACAACTAACAATTTGTACATTTAACTATTCATATTATTTGAATGTGAAATGTATTTGTATATTAAGATATTTACTCTCATTTCTAAAAAGCTATTAAATTATGATGTATTTGATGTAAATTATGTATGTATTTGGAAGTGATCCTTTTATAAAGCGATTAATTGCTGAATATCAATAGATTGATTGATATTTAATTGAAGCCCTATTTCACTTTAATATAGGCTATAAAAACGTATTAGTTTACACTCTCCTGTCATACATATTATACACATGAATCTGTTCGTTCAGCAGCAGGAAATAGATAGAGGGAATCCAAACGTACTCTATACTGTTTACCTTCAAATAGGTCACTGCGTACTGGATACAACGATACAACATACAATTAACTTGATATATGGCTGCAACAATGATATTTAAAACTAACTTTGCTCTATTTCAGGCTCCCTATCTTAGTCTCATCTCTGTTGTCACTGTTTCGTCTGTTTCTGCTCCTTTAACGCACTTATCTTTTCAACTTTTCAGTTTGGACATTATCACATAGACAGACAGGTACAGACCAGAGTTTCCACATACTGTCGTGTAGATGTATCCATCCCCTTCCGCTGACCTGTGATGTATATATACACATATATATTACATATATACAGTATATATTTATTATATATACAAAGTATATACCGTATATATATACTGTATATAACACACACACACATTTAGAGGTTATGCTCTGTTTTAAATGTATCATCCAGACGGGGAACCTCCTGCCCTTCGTGTGATTCATAAATTCAGCATCCATTTTACTGCTTTTTCTGACAGTTGAGTCTCTTGAATGTTAAATCTCTAACTCTAACTCTTTCTCCTGTCTTGTGACCAAATGTTTCTCCTTAAATGTACCTGACTTTATGGCTGTAGGATATGAAGACACATACAACATGTTATTGAATACTGATAAACATATTACATGCACTCACATTTTCCTTGTTTCTTTATCACAAGATATTCCTTTTGATTAATTTACAGATATTAAAGAGTACTCAGATCTGCCTTTTTGCTGTTTTCAGTAATCCTAAATTGCGTGTTAAATACAAAAATAAATATTTGTTCAACATTCTTTAATTAAACATTGAATTTAACACAAAAGGCACCCAAACAATTATAATAATAGTGCAGTTCCCTACTCATACCCTCTTCCGACTAACTAAAAAAGTGTATTTTGAGATGTGTCTATCGAACAAGTTGAAATCTAAAGTTGACAATTAACAAAAGAATCTATCGTGCAGCCCAACACGCCTTTATCCCAGCAGCAAACCAGCATTTCTTATTTTATGGAGCTACCTGGCTAATGTGAAAATAATGAACATCCCGAAGCTCAAACTACACCCTTCAGATAACCATATGTTTGAATCAACTCCTCTATTAGACAGTGTTAATACACAGTATAACATTCTTAAATATGCAGAGGATTGTAATAGGAGGTGAACCCAATCCTGCTATCTCAGTAGAATCTATTACACTGATTGTTTGAATTACAAATATCCAACGTATGAGATAGTTTCTCATCATGGTAATTTACCGTGAAACCCCATTGACTCCACATTAGGCCACAGAATTGAAGTTAAGCGACTCTGCTCTAAGGCTGTGTTTAAATGTGACATCAGCACAATAAATCGCAGCCTCATCAGTGGCTTCGATGACACGGTCAGCAGAGAAGCAGACCTCAGCCAATTAAAAAAGGGCAAGGGCACATTAGATGTTTAAAACGCATGGTGTGTAGAGTGCTGCAGGAACGAGTCCTAAAACCCGGACATGATGGAGCAGTTCTTCACTTCCTGTTCCCTCGTCTCAATGTCAGTGGGTTCTTTCAATAGGATTTTTGTCAGATCCTAAAAATAGGGTTGGCGGTTGGTCCTAAATGCTCTAAACGTGAATATTTAACATTATGAGTCAAACATGCGGTTGCTAAAAGATACTGCAGATGTTCTTGGGAATTTTTAAATACACAGCATTTAAGCTTAAAAAATCACAAGTAGTGTTCACTTGTTAAGATACATAAGATAAGATTTAATGTTGAAAAAACAGCTGAAAAAAAAACCTAATTACAAATAAATCAAAAATCTAGCTTCAAGTAAAATACATATTGATAGCGAAAGATTTATATATCTGTGTAAAGATTTATATGTCCTGTTTGTTGGCCACAGAGCATATTTTTTTCGCAAAATAATCAAAAATGCAACGGAAAAAGCCCATTGGTTCAATGCAGTTAAAGGCATACGTTTGGGTAGGTGTACACAAATACGTCAACCTTGCAGCACTCTATTCAATGCTTACCTTACCTGGCCATCATGGAGGACAATACTGCTGACACTGCAGAGTTTTCAGGGTATATAAGCCTTTTTAATCATGGAGATGTTGCTCAAACTTATCTCTGTGAATCATATTTTATAGCCTGTTGTTTTTTTAACCACAGTATGCTCGTGGCAGCAATCCAGAGATGATACTCTCTATCAGTCAGAGTTCATATTCCTCTCGGGATGAATAGTAAAAACGTCCTCTTACTTTAACGTGTCCAATACTTTAGTTAACGAATAAATATCCTTAACATTAATGACATCAACCTTAGCTGTAGAATAGAATAGTTGAATGTCATTATACAATGAGATAAATGCTTCTCCCTTTCAAGGGTGTCATCAAAACAAAACATCACAACATAAGACAACAAAATACACGCAGCATACATACTTAGGAATAAGGGATAAAGGAATAAAGAATAAAGTGCAGTAATTATTTCCAGGAGTATAAAAATAAAATCTGTAATGTAATAAATAATAATAAACATTGTAACTGTGAGGATGTTGGCAAGCTGATGTTGGGTCGGTTTATATCCTAAAGACACGCGCACAGACACCCTTCTGGTAATAGAAAAACAACACATGTATCTGTATCTGTCAGACGTCTTCCTCCTGTTGAACTCTTGCCGTTAAATGAGGAGCAGACCATGGATGCTGGGTTAGCCTCAATTCCACTGCTGTTTAAGTCAGCGTAACGATAACCTATGGCTGAACAATGGATTCATTTCACATTATGCTGCTCACCCCAACTCACCCCCAATTAATGAAGTAACAAAGGAGGAATTCAAGCCTTACACTCAGAAGAGCTGCTAGCACTGATAGGCTGGCGTGTCCATTAAACCACACAGTTAGAAACATTCGTCCTGATTTGTTTAAACTCACAATTTGGCCATATATGACACATTTAACTTTTTTTAAAAATTCATTTATTTTCCACAAAATCAATATCATTTAGGTTTATTTGTCGTGACTGTGTTGTGTGTGTTTCATACGGTCAAAAAAAATCTCCATCCTGAAGTAGGTGACATGAACTTGTATTTTGCATTGGGGGAAGTGGTGTAGTTAAAGTCCTCGGAGGTTCTCCAGGAGAACGCTAAAGCCTGCAGGCTGCACTCCAGCTCTCACCATATCCTGCTCCGCTGGGATTCAACTCAGGCATTTGTTTGAAACATTTAAGTTTAAGCGTAAAGTATTCATGAAGTCTTACCTGAATGTGGAAGTGATGGTCTTTGGGGTATTATAGTGCAAACATAGGAAAGCACAACACAAGTGGTACAGGTTTAGGTTCATAACATTCATAACAGCTGAATGACACATCTGCTACCTACGATCAGGTTCAGTTAATTATCAAAATATATGACCTTTATTTGTCAGTTACCGTCTCATCGTAGGTAGCTTTGGACAAAAGTCTCATCATGTTGAAGGAAAAGCAGGTGAAATACTCAAAACGCCGATGTCTTGCTGTCAAATCTTGCTCCATAATAAAACAACACATTGATATTAATCTTTAAAGGTTTAATCTGATAGTAAAGGTCCATCATATCTCATTCTACGCGGCTACAACTGTATCTCAAAGCTTCATAAACGTGTTGGCTTGCACTTGAAAAATGGGAGAAGAACAAGCATAATTTCTGTAGGGACTAAGGCAGCATTAAGAAATAAATAGCCTTAGGTGTACATTTGTAAAACATATGTTCTTTTCCTTTTAAGTAAACACAACATATGACATCCCACCTCATTCCCTGTTTTCACGAAATACCTGTATTTATTTTCGTACTTCAAAATGTATTCAATCAAAATCCCAAATTACACTAATATAGCAAGTTAAAAAAAAGTGTCTGGGTAAATTAATGATATCTATTATAAGCTGCTTTACATTAACAAGTCAAAAGTGGTCAAAGGCAAAATATCAGACATTTAAAATGCATTCAAAAGACAGCTATGGTAAAAAGAGACAACACTATTGCACCAAACCAAAATGGATTCTTAAATGACCACAGCATTGAAAAGGAAACATTGATCAGTTACTTTAGCTAATAACCTAAGAGTCACTTTTTCCGAAATCCACTTTTCCCATCGTCATAAGTTAGATCCATCACACGGCAATTATTTATAATAAAAGCTCTCCTTATGCGTGCTCCTGATGGGAATAAAACACACACACACATACACACACACACACACACACACACACACACACACACACACACACACACACACACACACTGCTGTAAATGTGCGTGTTTGTGTGAGTTGCTGCTGGTGGGTTGTGATTGTCTGTTCGTGTGTCTATACCTACAATACATCACAAACACTGAGAGACTTTGTTTTTTTTACCATGGTGTAAACAAACCTTCTAGTTCACACATGATCAGCTACGTGGATGGATAGGTCTGTAGAAAGAAAGAAAGATAAATACGCAATATTTATCTGTGTAAGGGATGTATGATTATGGCTCAAATAACAATTATGATTTGTTTCATATTAAGGCAGGATTATTGATCCCAGTTTCCTATAGTCTTTTAGAACCAAATTGAATCTATGTTTTTAACACTCAAACTTGCAAAAAGTTAAGTTGCTAAACAGTTGACTTTGTGTAAAGGGGGTAATTAATAAATGTCTAAATCATGATTATTATACCATTAACTGTAAGGTTGCAACAGTTGGGTGATACATTCAATTGTCTATCACCAGAACAGTCATTGGGAATCATTTTACACGAATCAATCAACTGTTACATTTAATCTAAAGCAAAAAGGTTTCAGCTTCTGAAAGTGAATCTGTTCTTGTTCTCTTACTGTTCGATCACTTTTTGTTGGACAAAACAAGGACAAAATAATAAGAAAAGGTCCCAATAGACTGCAAGGAAGCTTTTTATATTACTGCCCAAATGATTAGGAGATAATATAATACAAATAATTGTTAGTTGCAGCCTTAATCAACAGTGCAGCCCCACCATGTGTCAAACATGGTTCTAAAGTTGTGAGCCCATGCACTTAATGGGGATAAGTTAAATCTGCTGTTTGTGTGGTCAGATACAAACTTCGTGCTGGGGAACGCTCAGATCGTGGACTGGCCGATCGTCTACAGCAACGACGGCTTCTGCAAACTGTCCGGGTACCATCGGGCCGAGGTGATGCAGAAGAGCAGCACCTGCAGGTACAGCCATTTTATGTTTCAAATATCTCTATTGAGAAGAAGCATACAAGTGTAAGCAATAGTACAGACTTCTTTGGGGTGGAAATCATGCTTTTTCAACATAGAAGACAAACCGAACAGCCAACAAGAAATAATAGAGAAAAAACAGCATGACAGGAATAGCATACTTAATGACATACATAGTCAAAGTGGGAAAGAACATACAAAATACTCCTGCCATTTTATTATATGTTTCTTAATGCTCTTAATGTCTTTCATTTTTGTAAAGCACTTTGAATCGCCTTGTGTTGAAAGGTGCTATATAAATAAACGTGCCTTGCACACGCTGATGTTAAACCAGAGTGATGGAGAGTTTATCAGCACTGTGTGTTTTTACTTCTCCTCCCGCAGCTTCATGTACGGAGAGCTGACGGACAAGGACATGGCGGACAAAGTGCGGCAGACCTTTGAAAGCTACGAGATGAACTCTTTTGAGATTCTGATGTACAAGAAAAACAGTGAGTACTTCATGTTTTTTTAACAATACAAATTACAATGCAAATGTACTTCTGAACCCCCAAAGAACCAGAAATATAATGTTGCTTGCGTCACAGCAGCTCCATTTAAAGACAAGAATGAAACAAGAACACATACAACATTGAACTATTACAATACAATCATTGAGGACAATATGTTCTAGTCTCTACAACCGACTTTAGAGATGGGATTAAGTTCCATATTTCATTTTCCTATTGACCGGTGCACAAAGAGTCTGACCCTAAAAATATGGCAGAACCCTGTTTCTCCTATTACATGGTAAAAATGTGTATTTATTCTTTGAGGAGTCCTATTATGGTTTTCAGAGTTTTTCCTTTTACCTCAAAGTCTTCCCTGATACATTATATGAAACCTGTAAATGAGCATACTATTATGTCTATGTCTTCTTTAAGGACATATTTGGGGTCAAAGACAGTGTTATTGTCCAGTTTTAATACTTTTTTAGGGTAGGTTGATTCAAAGTTTCTCAAGCAGTTGACCTTCAATCTTTAAGCACAACTTTATTTAGTGGTTTTAATTTGTGTTGGATAAACACAGAGCGAGTACAACCCAACATTGTGCTTGTATATTTAGCAACTGTCTTGGAAAGTAAATGGGCATGTGGTAGAAACAATTCAAAGACACTATTTTTTCCAGTCCTGATAATGGATGTAGCGTAATGAGTGAGCCATCTCGCGTCCTAGCTGCACAGGCAAGCAGCTAGACTAATTCAACATGACAAATCACTTAAGTTGTTGTTGTAATATCATAACATTTCCCTTTGGGCAAGTGGATTTCTTATTGCCTTTAAAACCTTGAACCCTGGACTCGCCCCAAAGGACTTAAGCCAGCAGGAAAATGATTCTGTTTGTTCTTTTGCAGACAGATTCAAAGTGGGCTCAGGGTAGCAGATGGTCGATCATAACACCCACCTATTTGTATGAAAATACCTACTTGATATTGTCATTACGGATAACAAAAGGAGCGTCAGGTGGTGAAACAAATACAATTTCCTCTGTTTTCTTTGTCTTAATCTCAAGAGCTTTACGCTCACTTGGCAGCCTCTCAACGACAGAGACGGAGAAAGATGTCTGTTAAATATAATAAGCCTCTCAGTTTCACTCATTTAGTGCAGATTTCTTTGTTAAAGGAGAACAATACCACGCGAAGAACAAGCTGCTACTTTTATCAGACTTAACAAGACTGTTCAGTTTCACAGTGACGTGAAAATAGCTAGTTCCAAAACTGGCAAATGGCTGCCTTTTAACAAAGCCCCCTTTTATCCAAAGTGCTTTTTTGCCTTGTGATTGGAGTGTCAATGTCCTGGGAAAGGACACTGACATGAGGAAAGGACACTTTGACATGAGGAAAGGACACTTTGACATGAGGAAAGGTGTACTTATTTCCCGGGCATTTTATTCCCTAGAGAGCAAGCGACACAGGAGAGTGATGGGGAGGAAAAACAAAGACCCTGGTTCATATTTAATGCTTGACTCCCTCAACACTTTGGCCACATGAGTACAATCATTTATGTACATATATATTATATTTATATTCGTACCTTTCACGTTATTGTTAAAAAGCTTCCACTGAAACCCAAACTCTAAGAGTTCAGTGGTTTTTTGAGAGCAGTATGAGTTTGTTTTTGAGTCAGAACCAAAAGAAGGTGTTTTACTGAGTTCTACATCAGTGTTCACAGGTGGTGCTACACCCGACTGGCACAGGGACACATGTGTGTGTGTGGTTTTCGCTTCAGTTCACACTGGCACACAATATTACACATGCTGTGCGGATACAAAACAAGATGCTGTGTGTATCAACAGCGCTGTACACAAAACAGTCACACTTTCAAATGGCTTATACAACACTGAAAAACTATTAATGATTGAACATTTAGTGCAGCTTCTCCACCAGTTGCTGATGTTTGATTATCAGCTTTTCTGTCAAACTGCAGTCTTCACTCCACTTAACAGGGTTTTCCTCGTCCTTACACACTCTCAGCCAATTAAAACACGGCAAAGGAGAAACAAAACTGCTTCAAAATGACTGTTAACACTTAATGTACCAATTTGGATTGGATTGGACCAGTTAAGAGACAGAGGACATCCGTTCTGCCATTTAATTCAGAGACTGAGAAAACCAAGAGCCCTGTTATTGGGTGTAGTTTGCTAAAGAAAATAGTTCCTCCATGAAACCCCTCTCAGAAACTCTGTGGATTATCCTGAGTAGCCGGGTCATGATTTTATGAAAATAAATCCTGGTGAGTTCTTTTGTTATGTATTTCTTGGTTGAGTGCCATCTTCTTCCATTATACTGGAGAGAAGGCAGACATCTGTATGGCCAATATCTCAAACACTCTGCAACTCAAACCATATCATGTTGATGAATAGCACTACAGGAAATAGGAAAACGATGTACTTTCCATTTTGGGTTTTCTCCTTCAGTCTCCCCCTGTCCTATCATGGATGTTTTGATTGGAAGTGAGACAAATGTATGATGTCTGAATGGGGTTTTGACTCATTTTGGAGCTGCCCCGTCAATGGTGTAAATTGGATTTTTGACACTTTAAACACCTTCTCAATACACAAAATAGATTCAGCAGCTCAAGGTGAAACGGTTCATTCTCACTTTCAGGTGAGGGTGTTGAGTTTTGACGAAAACAAACTTCCTTTGTGTGTGTGTGTGTGTGTGTGTGTGTGTGTGTGTGTGTGGTGTGTGTGTGTGTGTGTGTGTGTGTGTGTGTGTGTGTGTGTGTGTGTGTGTGTGTGTGTGTGTGTGTGTGTGTGTGTGTGTGTGTGTGTGTGTGTGTGTGTGTGTGTGTGTGTGTGTGTGTGTGTGTGTGTGTGTGTGTGTGTGTGTGTGTGTGTGTGTGTGTGTGTGTGTGTGTGTGTGTGTGTGTGTGTGTGTGTGTGTGTGTGTGTGTGCGTGCTCCAGGGATGCCAGTCTGGTTTTTCATGAAGATTGCTCCAATCAGGAACGAGCAGGATAAAGTGGTCCTGTTTCTCTGCACCTTCAGTGACATCACCGCCTTCAAGCAGCCAATCGAGGACGACTCTTCAAAAGGTGGGTGGGGCTAAAAACAATGGACAATATGACAAAAATCAACTACAATTCTTAGGCACTGTTAGTGTTTTTGTTCACACACTGATTAACTGCGCTAGACATATTAGAGAAGAATAATTTTCCACATATCTAGCTGCAAAACTGTCAGTACAAACGTCTGAAAAAAAAACATTGGTCATAACTAAACCTCCTCTTAAGCTGTGAGAACAAGGTAATAGGACCAGCCGGTTTTTCACTTTGATCAATATCGTGAGACAGTTATAACGCATACATAGATTTTTATAAGAAACCTAAGAGGGTGTTGTTTTAAGGAGAACAATCGGTGCTTGTTGATCCCTGCTGTGGGCAAGCTTTATGTTTTTTTTGTGGCTTTCCAGAAAACACAATAAGGCCGGTTTATAAGTGCTTTGAATGTCAATAAAAATACATTTTCTTGTCTTGATAAAGAACGCTGCTGGCCCGTGCTTTTACCAACCTATCCTTCACACTCCACCATGTTTTATCATTTGTGTTATAACTTTGTGTCACTATGGGAATTGCCTCGGCCATAGTTTAACAGCTCACTCTGTTATCAAAGAACGATGTTACGTTTAGTAACGCAACATTTTTGTAATGCTTTTGTGTTATGCATTAAGTGACTAAGATCAGATAAGATAAGACGTACTTTATTGGTCCCACATTTGGACATTTTGCTTTGAAGCAGCATAAACAAATTAATAAAAGCATGTGGGTGTGAAACCCTGACATTGACAATATAAGTCAGGGGTGGGGAACCTCCGGCCCCCGGGCCGTATACGGCCCGTGAGACCATTTGGTGTGGCCCTCGAGGTAATTTATAAACACACGCAAAAAAGAAAAAAATTAAAGAAATCTAGACCGCAAAATAATTAAACAAGTGAGTGCCTGTTTTTCCTGGCCAAGGTCAGGGTCCTTGAACACAACACAAGCCTAACGTGTCGTCACGTGGTATATGTCTCGTCTGACAGGGGTGTAGTTCGGGGAGCACCAGAACGCAGCTCCGCTCCGGCACTTCCAAAAATTGCAGTACCCATAAGGAGCCGTACACATGTGTGATACTGATCATACAGTCAATAACTTTGTTGTTATTAGCATCTTGTTAGCTAGCTATGCTAACGAATATAAGAAGCTTTTTCTCCAACCAGTGAGGTAAAGGCACATCTTATATGATCATTTTAGTTATAAAAAATAAGAGAATAAAGTAAACAGGTATAAAATACTATATGACAGTAACACAAAAGTTGTTATTAATAAACAAGAATACAGTTTGAAGGGAGAGTGATTTGTAAAATATCCATAAAGAAAAAGAAAATCTGCTTACAGTTATGTTTCATATGGGTGTTGAGAGATGTATGATCCATTGATCTAATGTTGCTCTCAAAGTGCACCAGATTTAAAGAACATTTAAAAACAAATCTTCCCGGGGGAGCATGCCCCCGGACCCCCCTAGACGGGGTTAGGTCCCCCCCACTTAAATAATGTTCACATGGATAGGAAACTAAATACATTTGCACACATCTTGTGTCCATATCTTTTTGTTTTGGTGGTCATGCTACAACCGTGCATGTGCGTGCGTGCATGCATGCGCGAGTCATGGTAAGATATCTGGATTAAGAGGTTGCTTTTTCTTTTTCTTTGCACAGCATGAAAGAAAGGTGAAATGAATGGGCTGTGATTTTAGTATTTTTAAGCAGAGGTCAATAATTTGTACGGCCCTCGGAGGATGTTGAAAACATTGAAATGGCCCTTGAGAGGAAAAAGGTTCCCCACCCCTGATTTAAGTCAATGAAACTTGACAAAAAATAGAAAAATAGGCAAAAGAAAATTACACATTAAGTTGATAAACATTATGTGATGATTCAAAAAAGCTTTAACCTGATCATTCTTAAAATGTATACTTATTCAAGGTTTCAGATCATGAAGAACATTTTGTCTCGAGGTAGGAACAGCCTGTTAGGTTTTAAATCGTGCACTTGTTCAGTCATCTGATGTTCCATGTTTTCTTATTCTGTGTGCTTTTCAGGTTGGGGTAAATTTGCCCGTCTGACTCGTGCGCTGACCAGCAGTCGAGGCGTTCTGCAGCAGCTCGCTCCAGCTGTGCAGAAAGGAGAGAACGTCCACAAACACTCACGGCTGGCAGAGGTGAGATCAGCTCTCTCTCAGCTCTCCTCACTGAACCAGACATGGTTTAGAAAGGAGACGCTGCACTGAATGTCAATTTCCTGTATCTGTGTCTCCAGCTGCGCCACCTCTCTAGGACTCTGAGTCTTTTAAACACATTGGGAGAAGTGATTCTGAACTCAGTCACCCAAGTAAATATTGGACGCATTTTTCACAAGCCAGAACAATCTGACACTAAAATGATATTTTTCAGAAGCACAAATCAGGAAAAAGGAGAACTCGGGAGGACTTTTTCACAAGACTAACCGGGTGTTTCAAGTCATTATTTATTGTAAAAAAATATATTTTTATAAGTTCCAAAAATCACAACATGTTTTAAGTAACTAAATATTCTCTTTTCGGTGTTAAGCCTTTAAAGAAACACCATTTTGAGTGTGTTAAATACAAATAGGCCGGGGTTGAATCATTTCAACTGCACCATCAACAAAAAAACATTGTTTATTCGAAACTAGGAAAACAAATGTTCATCGTAAAAGACAATATAAAAAGCATCAATTGAAATAATAACAAAAATCATATTTTCTTCTTTTCTTTCATTCAACATGATGAATAAAACTTCAGTACACTCTCCAATCGTTTTATATTTGGTACACAGCAGGACACAAGACAGAATTGATATAAGCGTACCAAACATTGTGAGCACTAACATAATGTGGTTTTCTTTCAGTTATGAGAAAAGTACTTTACATTGATCTGGAACAAAGTACCTCTGACATCCTGGGTCTATCTGTTATTAGTGTGCAGACGGGCTGAGAGATGGAGGCAGTTCCTGTTGTTTATTGACGGCCTGCTTTCAGAGCGAGACAAACACACTGTTATTAAAGTCTGCCGAGTGGACTCCTCTGTCACCAGAACGCCTGCGGACCCTCAAAACACATATCAGGGTTTTAATGTAATGTGATGAATACAACAGAATATATAGCGGTTTCTTATTTCTAGAGATACTGAATGAAATTGTTCAGATCAATCAATAGTGAATGTGACTTCCCAGTAAGGAGTCTCTGGAGAGAAACTGCAGCTAAAAGATTTAAAGTATTGTTTACCTCCATCGATTCTGTTTTTGTTGGCAGGAGCAGGTCATTCATTCATTTGTGGAGCTGGGAGAATACATTCTTACTTTACTTAAAGGGGACCTATTATGTAAAATCCACTTCTTCATGTCTCTTCTACATCAACATGTGTCCCCTCTTCTTCATGTCTCTTCTACATCAACATGTGTCCCCTCTTCTTCTTGTCTCTTCTACATCAACATGTGTCCCCTCTTCTTCATGTCTCTTCTACATCAACATGTGTCCCCTCTTCTTCTTGTCTCTTCTACATCAACATGTGTCCCCACTTCTTCATGTCTCTTCTACATCAACATGTGTCCCCTCTTCTTCATGTCTCTTCTACATCAACATGTGTCCCCTCTTCTTCTTGTCTCTTCTACATCAACATGTGTCCCCTCTTCTTCATGTCTCTTCTACATCAACATGTGTCCCCTCTTCTTCATGTCTCTTCTACATCAACATGTGTCCCCTCTTCTTCATGTCTCTTCTACATCAACATGTGTCCCCTCTTCTTCATGTCTCTTCTACATCAACATGTGTCCCCTCTTCTTCATGTCTCTTCTACATCAACATGTGTCCCCTCTTCTTCATGTCTCTTCTACATCAACATGTGTCCCCTCTTCTTCATGTCTCTTCTACATCAGCATGTGTCCCCTCTTCTTCATGTCTCTTCTACATCAACATGTGTCCCCTCTTCTTCATGTCTCTTCTACATCAACATGTGTCCCATCTTCTTCATGTCTCTTCTACATCAACATGTGTCCCCTCTTCTTCATGTCTCTTCTACATCAACATGTGTCCCCTCTTCTTCATGTCTCTTCTACATCAACATGTGTCCCCTCTTCTTCATGTCTCTTCTACATCAACATGTGTCCCCTCTTCTTCATGTCTCTTCTACATCAACATGTGTCCCCTCTTCTTCATGTCTCTTCTACATCAACATGTGTCCCCTCTTCTTCATGTCTCTTCTACATCAACATGTGTCCCCTCTTCTTCATGTCTCTTCTACATCAACATGTGTCCCCTCTTCTTCATGTCTCTTCTACATCAACATGTGTCCCCTCTGTGGAAAGAGACTCTGAATGTTTCAGGAGAAAATATTCTCTCTTTTTGTCCTGATCCATTTCTATTAAAAACCTGTCTGAAAATGAGCTGAACAGATTTCGGCCAAACACCTCAGAGACATGTTCTGAATATATCTGAGACCTGTAATATATTGATGAAAAACAGTATAATAGGGGACCTTTAACTCTTACTCACCAGTATGTCTGTCCTCACAGCTGCCTGAAACTTTTACAGTAGCATACAAATATCCTCTATCGTCGACCGCTTATCGCAGTGGTCCCCAAACTAAGGCCCGCGGGCCGGGTACGGCCCGCCTCCACATTTGGCCCGGCCCCCTGAACAATACCAGAGACGCATTATGATTTATTTATTTATTTTTTTATTTATTTAAAAAAATAAATAAAAATGTTCAGTCTGGCCACGCGAATCCTAGACTAGCCCCTGTCAAAATGTTGTGACCTGCTCTATCTAAATCAGTCGCATTGACCCGAAGACACATTTTGAGTTGTATACACTGTTGGAAAGAGGAGGTTCCTAGCTTTCTAATGATATCAGGATTGTTTTTGTACTCCAAATATTAAGCGAAATATGTCACATTATATAATGACTGTCACCGAGTCATCATTTTGAGAAAAAGGCCTTCAAAGTTTTCTCTTCTCTGGAATCCATCGATCTGATTGATTATTAGCGGAGCAAATGATCAAAATACTACCGAGGGAAGATATTTTTGTTTGGAGGGGAAGCTCGCGAGTGTGTGTGTATACGTGTGTGTGTGAATGTGTGTGCTTGTGTAATTTTGCGTTTGTGTGCATTGTGATTGTTTCCCGGGGAAAACAATCACGAGAAACACCGGCTGCTGTTATGCCTGCTGTGACGTCAAGTTACTCCGTTCTCCGCTTGTAATTATGCCGAAGCTTCAAAGCTGTATTTATCATCTGAATTTGCCAAAACAAGTTTAATATTCTGAAAGCCAAGACTTGTTTAATTAAAATCAGATGAAAACAAACTGTAACGGACCCTGCAGTGTTATCTATGATTACTATACTCTTACATTCATAATTTCAGCGGAGTGAGGGGGGCGGCGCTGCGGAAGAGCAGATTGCGAGTGAGAAATAAATAAATTGGAAATAAAAGTTTCATATTCTGAAAGCCAAGACTTTGTTTGTTTAAAATCAAACAAAACACCCGAACCCCGAAAAAATAGTTTTTTTTACGTAAATCCACGTTTATTTTTGAGAGATTCTGCTCTGACATCTAAGCTAAACTTTTACCTGTTAAGATTGTGCACGGCACAACAGAAAGTTACAGTAATTTTCAATGGACTTTTTTTCTGTGAAGAACCCAGAGAGGGTTATTTGGTTATTATTTATTTCATAAATAGTGTTATTTATTTCATTAATAGTGTTATTATTTATTTCCTGACTTTTTTTCTGTGAAGATCCCGGAAAGGGTTATTAATATTTGGTTATGTGTGGCTTTCTAGAAAACAATAAATGTTTACGTTTAGACACCCATGCGATCGTCACACTTTTTCTGTTACAAACTGACCCGGCCCCCATCAGAGAAGGGAAAAGTTATGTGGCCCTCACAGGTAAAAGTTTGGGGACCCCTGGCTTATCAGGTCGCAGGTGAAGCAGTTTTTTTAAAACTAAAGATGTTCATACAGCTCTTTTAATCATTTGGTAATGAATCCCACAGTTACACCCAAACTACAGAGACACACATCTGTTTTAAAGAAGTTCATGCAAACTGATTCCTAAAGTTACATTTCAGTCAGACAACTCACGTGTTCTTAATATGTTTATTAGAAGCAGCATATAGTTTGGCGTCTAGGCTCGGGCCTCATCGCTCCACAGATTTACAAAGAACATTGAGTGATGATTAGATGACTATCCTCCGAGCCTACAGGTGGAAGCTGGGGTGGTGGTGGGGCAGGCGAGCAGCAGCAACATGAAACAGCAGCAGGAACATGAACGCAGCAGTAGCAAGTAGGGATGCCAGCGATTATTCGATTTTTCGAATATTCGTTACAGTCTCCATAATCGAAAATTATTTCTTAAAATTCGATTTTTTCTTATTATTATTTATGTTTTTCTTTTTTTTCCTGGCTTAGTTTCAACCAAAATATAGACTAATGCTAATAATAGTAATAGTATTAATAATTGTAAATGGCCATTGGTCACACCACCAGTTTGTTTTACTGTAAACTTGGAGGAAGCCAGCAAGCAGACTGCGGGGGGGGGGGGGCGGGGCGATTTATATTCACCAGGGCTGTCCGATTTGGCAGCATAGCGAGGCAGAGGCAGGAAGACCTGGCAGCTTCAATAGAGCGGCATGTTTAGGAGAATGTGTTTGGTTGGTTGTAAGAGGGACGAGGTGCGTCACGTGTTCATGTATCATTGGTGCTCGAGTTGACTGCCTGAACTAGCTCGCAGGCTTCGCCCCATTTCCTTTCTATGTATCCTGTCCTCAGAAATTAATGTGAACTTTTTTTGTTTATTTTCTAGTAATACTCTGTTTTCTCACAGCCAAAAGAGTCTGTCATTCAATGACATAACATTTTGCACACTGGACAGTATGACATGTTAGCACATGATGGTGACATGTTGTCGAGTACACCACAGCACCAAGGAAATTATATTTGAGAAGTGAATTAATGCATAACTACTTAATTAATGTATGAATCATTTCCTATCTCACTAGACTAGAGTGTACATGTAGGGTGTAGAAGTTGTACAATTGGAAATTAAATTTAAGTTGATTAACATTTCTATTTGTTATTTTATTTGGTAACAAAGAACAGATTTTGTCCATTTATTTTTAACTTAGTTTTAACAGTTTTTATTTTATTTTGTATTCTTTGAATTGACCTCCGTAGGCGTGTGTTGGTCCTGTGTTGCTTTCTATTATATAACCATCTGCTGCCATTTTGGCCATCAAGCTGTGGAAAAATGAATATTCTTATCCTAAGATAATAAGAATTAAAACGTGTTAAATGCACTTTATAAACATTAGCTCTCCTCACAGGCGTCGTGTTGCCGATAAGTTCATCAGCTGTAATCAACTGTGACTAATCTTCCCTTTATTGCATGATGGTAATTACTGTCGGCTCTAATGAAGTCATCCGTTATCGGTCCGTTTCACCGGGACAATACCCTTTGTCCTCCACATTAACACCATTATCATATTAGGATCATTTATTCTTTTATACAGTGCTTTATGAGGGGAAAATGTATTTACATATTTCATACAGATGACAAGTTCTTAACAGAAGCTCAGAGGATTAAAATGAGAGAAAACTGAATAGAAAATGTCCATTTTAGTCAGTGAAATTAGATAAGTTCTTTATTAAATCAACAGCTGATTTTCAGGCGATAGCACAGTTAAAACTCGCTTTTATTTAAATTGCTGTTATCATTTAGTTTTTGAACTTTCGCTTATCTCCCTTGTTTAATTTGATTCAATTTATTTTATTTTTGTCACTGAAACAAATAACTGGTATGAATAGATTTAACAAGAAAAGTATTCAAAAGTAACCACAGCAAAGATGTTTACTCAAAAGTTATTAAAGGAAAAAAGTGAAGTCGTTTTTTCTTGTAAACAATATTCTGTTCTCCTATTTGATCCAAATCCTTCTTTTGTTGTTTTTCAAAACATCTATTTACAAATATCACACAACTCATGCAGTATAATCCATATCTTATGTATCCTGTCCTGTGCTCACTTCTTCCCAAATGCATGCATTTCCCCTTAAACCTAACCATTTAAAGACACTTAAAACTCATCCAGATTCACACTGACACATTTCTCCCAACAGTGACAGTGAGCCAACTTTATAATCCCGATCGTCAACAAGCACTCCGCTCCCAGCTGTGTGCGTCACTGTTTAGTGTCCTCGGGTTTCTGCTGTGTTTTGATGTTCTTGCAGAGTTTGGCTTTTGCAGCTCCTTTTAGTAAACGCTGCACATGTTTTGTCAAGTTGGTGAAGATGTGTTTTCATTTGTATGTATGTATGTATGTATGTATGTATGTATGTATGTATGTATGTATGTATGTATGTATGTATGTATGTATGTATGTATGTATGTATGTATGTATTTGTATGTATGTATGTATGTATGTATGTATGTATGTATGTATTTGTATGTATGTATGTATGTATGTATGTATGTGTGTATTTGTATGTATGTATGTATGTATGTAATACATACATACACACACATACATACATACATCATACATACATACATACATTGTATGTATGTATGTATGTATGATGTATTGTAAGGTATGTATGTATGTAGTATGTAGTATTTGTATGTATGTATGTATGTATGTATTTGTATGTATGTATGTATGTATGTGTGTATTTGTATGTATGTATGTAATACATACATACACACACATACATACATACATACATCATACATACATACATACATTGTATGTATGTATGTATGTATGTGTGTAATACATACACACATACATACATACTATGTATGTATGTATGTATTTGTATGTATGGATGTATTTGTATGTGTATTTGTATGTGTACATTTGTGTTTTTATATTTGCAATGTTTTTGAAACTTCAGCGCGTTTAATGGAAATGTTTTGTGCCGTTGTATCACGTCGGCCACTGTAGATTTCGATTTAAAAAACAACTTTATCCTCATGAGGGTTTGGTTAAATCATGGTGATATGATACTTGTTGGAAAAATATCACTCGTCACCGGCTTGGTCTTCAACATCAGGATACATGTATTTATTATCCTTGCAAGAATGGAAGTAGTCTTCACATACAGAGCATTTGGTACAACTAGTTCCTGAACAGTGTCCTTCACATGCTGATATACAAGAGAGGTTGTATCACAGTCACAAGATGGAGGAATACGGTTCAAAGCAGTATTCAATGTTTAGTTCAGATTAGCTAAGGCCTGCGTAAGCGATAAACATGACAGTCATATGTCTATCTCCATAGAGGCTGAATCATCATGTTAATCACATAGCTATCATATGTCTAAAACAGTCCTGACGCTCTTCTAGGTAATCATACATCCGGTCATGTACACAGCTATGTAGGGCCTTTGTTATCATGTGCTACTCTGATATTGGAAGAGTACATTCAGTATTTTCCCAACAGATATGATCTGTGTTTTAAAAACATTTTTATTTTACTTTTATGTATCCACCACGACACCAAGTAAAATTCCTCGTACGTGTCAACCTACCTGGTAATAAACCCGTTTCTGATTCTTCTGATATCTTTGTCTCAAACCCATAGCTAACGCTGTTTATTCTATTTTGTCTCAGGTTCTCCAGCTGGGCTCAGACATCTTGCCTCAGTACAAACAGGAAACCCCGAAGACCCCTCCCCACATCATCCTGCACTACTGCCTCTTCAAGACCACGTGGGACTGGGTCATCCTCATCCTCACCTTCTACACCGCCATCATGGTGCCCTACAACGTGTCCTTCAAGACCAAGCAGAACAACGTCACCTGGCTGGTGGTGGACAGCATCGTGGACGTCATCTTCCTCGTGGACATCGTCCTCAACTTCCACACCACCTTCGTCGGCCCGGCCGGGGAGGTGATCTCCGACCCGAAGCTCATCCGCATGAACTACGTGAAGACGTGGTTCGTCATCGACCTGCTGTCCTGCCTGCCGTACGACGTCATCAACGCCTTCGAGAACGTGGACGAGGTCAGTGGACTTTCATTTCAATCAGGAGAGATAGTTTTTTGATGTAATGATATATACAGTATGTATTGCCGGGAATACACAGATACATGTAATGGTGTTTGGCGATTAGACCCCGTTGTGCGGGAGTATCATCCGGGAGGGGAAAACTGAGCCAATAAACCTCCCCTGGGATCTAGACACTGGTGGTGGTGGAGGCATGAAGGGATTGATGGAGGTCGGTCTGAAGAGGAGTGGTTTAAGCTTGACCTTGGATTTGGAAGAAAGGAAGGTGGAAGGACTGGAGGAGGGCTGCGTTGACTGTGAGGAAGGGGAGAGAGCAGATTTAAAGGTTTAGCAATGCACTATGATAGGCTTGTGGGAATAGAGGCGAAGTGGTTTAGCTGGGGAGTGACGCCCCCGATCACTGATTGAGAGGAGAGAGTAGTAAGCTGGAAATATGTGAATGAATGAGTAAAGACGGTCTTCCTGGTTGAACTTGCTCTAAGCTTCAGTTGTCTGTTAGATATACAAAGTAACAGCTTTCTTAGAGGTTAACTTTGTTTTTTAACAATGTAAGACACAAAACATGTTTAACAGATTTTTGAAATTCGTCCAGTGTTTAGCGAGAATTGGTACTAAACAGGCTGAAATGTAATCGCTCTTGTCAATAGTTACATTACATTACACATCACTTGTTAGACGCTTTTATCCAGAGCGACTTCCATACTCAATACTGTGGGCAATCCCCACAGGAGCAATTTGGGGTGAAGTGTCCCAGGGACACAACGACATGCTGACTGCAGTGGGGTTTGAACCTGTGACGCTCTGATCCGAACACCAACGCACAACCCACTGCACCACACGCCTCCCTGTGTGTAGTTTACCGAGGTACGTGTCGTGTGGAGGCAGAGCAGGGTCGACCCAAATGCAGGACGTACACGTTTTAAACAGACGAACACCTTACATTGCAGGAAGCCAGGCAGAGCAGCTCAAGGGAAAACTAAAGTAACAACACTCTCCGATGCAAACAAGGATCTGACTACTTACAGAAAACCAGAACTTAAATACATGCAACACTAATCACAAGGACAATTCCCTTTTAAAATCAACAAGTCACAAATAATGTGCGTCGCTGTTTTGATGCATATTAATAATTATACATGTAGTAAGAAAAAACTAAAGAAGATGACTAGAACATTTCTGCATGTCTTAAAAGAAAAATTCAGTTTGTACAGAATTATTTTGCAATGTGCCAACTATTAACAGCATATACTTAGTAGTAGTCTGTTTAAAAGCCGGATACATCGTTTTCCTCTGTCCCATAAAGCTCTACTTTTGTTCATAATCTATTTATGACATGTTCCGTTATTTCCATGAACACACACTATAGTTTATTTTGACTCAATCCACACTAGAGCACCTAATGTGGATACATCTGCCGCTCACAGCAGTCCCGAACCAATGCATAATCTCCCCTCGTTCATTGATTATATTAACAGTGAACAGCTTTTCAAAGAAAGTAGCTGAACCGTTTAAACATTAAACCATATGTTTGTGTTTTCCAATATTAACATCTTCAGCTGTCAGAAAGCCTTTTGCAGCGTTTGGTCTCTCCATGATATTTCTTGACAACAACATGCATCATTAACATCAGAAAGCTATTTGCAGATTTCAAAACAACCACAGTGCATGTGTGTGTCTGAGAGTGGGTTTCAAGTCTCTGCAGTTTGATTTTCATCCTGAAATGAAAGCCACAGCATCCTGTGAGGTTGGCGCTCATAAACTCTTAGTAATATAAATGATTAAACGCAGAGCTGTGAAAGTGTGTCCGGTGTTGGTGCGGTCCGTCCAGCTCTGAGGCATGAAATGGAAACGACGCAGCGTGACTGCAGGAGTGTAATCAACATGATGGAGTGCATTGTTTTACATTCCTCCAATGGCTTCACAGCGAGTAATGGCTTCCTATGGCAGCACAGAGAAAAGGTCATGACTGAACTGCTGACGTGTCAAAATGAAAAATGTACAGTAAGCCCCAAGAATTTATTTGAAATCAGTCCAAACAGCCATGTGTAAAATATATGAAATTGACTGAAATAGGTCAGTTTACTTTGTAGGAGTCCACACACTATGTTGCCTTCAGGCCGGCTGTTGAGGTATGACCGTGACTATTTCAGTAATAAGTCGACCTTTTTTGATGTTTAAACGAATACAGATTGAGAAAATCTCCCTCTGGAGGGAACGACTGTAAGGGATTGAAGCCGTTGATGAACATTTGCCTTCACAAAAACCTATATAAAGTACAGGAAAGGGAACACCCCTTAAAGAAAATAATTGACCCCAGCAAATGCAATTTTTCATCCAGTAAGCCTGATCAAAACACTTTATAAATGCAAACATTTCTATGTGTGTTTCTAAAGATTTACATCTTAGAAAATAATTCAGAAAGACTTTATAGATTTGTGTCTTTCCTGGATTGTTGAAAACAACATGCATCTTTGATATCAGAAAACTATTTGCAGAAGTCAAAACATGGTGCCCATACGTCTCCGAGAGTGCGATATAGGAGGACGACATACGCACGTTGAGAACAAAAGTTAATTCAATCATACATTTGAAAATAAAGTCTCTGAAAAAATGGTTTCAGTTGAGATCCTAAAACCTAATAAAGACCTAAGTAATTTAACGTAAAAAAATACACAACCAAAATGGAGGCAGATTTTGTCTCAATATTACTTGTGCGAACAGTTTGACAATCTGTGTGTAAATTGGTTAACTCAATCCAAAAGCGTAGATGTGAAATCCCCAAAGACACTGGATTCAGAAATGCTTTTCAAAGACTATTTGCAAATCAATTACATTTATTAACAGATTTTCTTTTGGCGTGAGGATTTGTTTGTGTATTTTCAGATTGGTTTTATATTTGTATAAATATATTTCAGATTTTTTGGGCATTTATGGATGTTTTAAGTTTGTAGATTACACATTTACACACAGACTTATTCACCCATATAGTATTGAGACATACACAAACCATCACCTCAGAATAATCATGTTTGTCATGAAGTGAAAACAAAGCGTGTTAGTCCTCAGACACACAGTGCACATAATTGAATCCTGTCCTGTGCGGGCTTCCGTAGGGAGGAGAAAAACAAAGTTGTTGAGTGAAAGGAGATGAAGTGTCGGGGCTTTAACCCCTCGCTGCAGCCCATCAGACAGAAACCTACCTTTTCATTCTGACTGCTGAAGGCTGCTAATGGAGGAGCAGTGCATTGTGGGTGTTTCCCTAGTGAGAGGCAGTGTTTTTGACGAGAGGCAGCGGTGACAGACGAGTCAAAAACGGAGAGGATGAGTCTCTGTAGGTGGCACGGCTGCTGCCTGTTTCATACATGTTTCATACGTGTTTGATAAATCTTTCATACTGACTTTATCCATCGTGACTGTAAGAGCTCTGCTGGAGAGAGCAGGAGAATTTAAGAGATGCTGACCCAGTGTCACGAAGCAGTGAGTTTACCCAAGATTGGACATATATTTTGACTTTATACCGTGACCTCTGCAGAGGAGGAAGCACTCTGATGGTTTTTTTATGATCCATCTTCTAAATTACTGCTGAAGAGTTACACTGCAGGTGAAGATGGCAGCAGTGAGACTCAGAATAAGAGTTTAGAGCTGAAGATGTTTGTTAAAAACATCAAGCGTAAGACGATAGAGGGGGTTAGGTCATTTTTGACTGGACGAAAGGTGTTCAACATCATCCAATGGTGGAAGAAGTACGATTTTATACTTATATTGCCTGTACTAATTATATAATTTGCCTTAGAATGTATTTCATGGAGTGTTTTAGTGAAAGTCAAAGTCTGCATGTATATGAGTCCTTCCGGTATGTTTTACTTGTGTAGGAACTGCTCAGGATAGTCTTCTGTCTTGTGTTCTCTTCTCTGTTTAGTGTACTTGGTGTAAATCATGGTTCTATTCTCTCTAATTAAATCTGTTTAATCCTGGCAAAATGTAATTAGGTTAAAGTTGTGTTTAAATGTGGAATAAAATAGGCTTCTTCATTGCTGGCCATCACCAATGATTTGAGCATTTTGCATAACGTCTAGCTACTAATTGGAAGAAAACAGTCATAAAGGAAAGGGTTGTGAATAACTGCCTGATTATTATTGGGTGTAGACACTGGAAAAGATTGAAGACCTTCTAATGAAATATAATGCAACCTCTATGTGATGCAAGAACAAGAAGAGTCAGGTTAAAGCAGCCGTCATGTATTATTGACAAGGGGACAAAATGAAATATTACACTGACCAGTTTAATAGGGGACAAAACACCAGAGAATCCTCCCCAGTGCTCAGGGACTAGATTCACTCTGAAAGGACATGACACATCCTTAGACTGATTATCCAATTGGACAGCCTACAACCATTTAAGACCTGTAACCGAACTGCCTCAATCAATAAGTCAACCACATGACCAACAAGTCAGTCAATCTGTCAATAAATCAATAAACTAATCTCTAAGCAGTGTAGTAATCCACCAGGAGGAGTCTGTGGTGGACATACAGAAACGTAGTGTAACTATCACAACATTTTGACTTGAAATGTTATATTTTTCTTAAAGAAATATGTGAGTAACTTGGTATTAAAAAAGGGCAACATAAAGAGGAAATAACACGAGTGTGTAATCCAACCTGAATATATCCAGTGTGTTTCACTGCAGGTTTTTGATCAATAAAACATTTACAAAATAAAAGCATGTATGAAAGTTTCCCTTGCACAAACACACACAGAGGTTTTGGACAAGGTTGAGAAGTACTTTTAATGCACACTGTTTTATGAACATATCACAACACAGTGTAGTTGGATTTAAGGCTGCACGATTTGGGGAAATAATCTAATTGCGATTTTTCTGATAAATATTGCGATTCAATTTGCGATATTTGTTTTTAAGCGACCCAACGGAAGTTCATTGTAAAATGCGGCCAAATCTCCGGCTAGGAAGGTCGTATCAACATGCTCCCGTCTCTA